AGTAAACCCCTATCTGGTTAAACTCAGTCCTTCCCCCTTCTCAGTTCCATCTCCAAACTTCTGGAATGGTAGACCAGGGAACGATACCACCACACCACAGAACTGTTAGCAGTGTTAGCAAATTAACAAGGGTGTGTTTAAAGTCTAAAACTGTACTTCCAGTAAAGAGATGTCAAAACTTGAAAGTGTTTCATTATTTCATTGGATCCCTAATTCTCAGATCAATGATCTGATTTTTTTAAGTCTGCAGAGTGAGGGCAACATGCACTGAATGAGGTGTGGGGGTGGTGGGGGAGGGAGCATATGGGTGCTGGAGCAATTTATTTTTTCATGATGACTGTGACCCACAGAGTAACTAAATTACTTTCATACAGGAAATTAGATTACTCACTAAGCAGGGTGCCCCCCTAAATTCACAAAGTCCCCCAAACCAGTGGAACCATTGGATTTTGCTGGGACCACCTATGAGACCAATTGTACTTGAATGCATCAATCAGACCCACACCGTTCAAGCAGTTCTGACACCTTCTCTCACCTAACCTGGCTCCCGTGATCTTCTCAATGGATTAACCACCTGGAGCAGCTGAAACTCTAAGAGAACTTCATTCTGTCAAATATGGAAAAACAGAATAGGTACACACAATGGAAAGGTTCTTATCAGTAGCCATTTAGATTATTCCAAAAGGAAATAGTTACAAACCAACATAATTTGTACCTAGGAGAGAATTTGTTGTTCAGTCACTCAGTCGAGTCCAACCCTTTATGACCGACCCCATGAACTGTTGCACGCCAGGCTTCCCTTTCCTTCACTATCTCCTAGAGTTTGCTCAAACTCATGCCCATTGAGTCCGTGATGCCATTCAATAAAAGCAGTCAATTAAAAGCGAATTTTTTTTTTTAAAGCGAATTTTTAAAAAGTTAAATCCAGTCTGCAGGTGACTGAAGGACTTGCAAACCTCAAATACATTATCTGAAATACTAAAAAGTCAAATAAAAATATTCACTGTATAAGTAGTAGGGACAAATAAAAACTTGTAGGGACAATTTTGAGGATTTGGGGGCCACTTGAGTTCATCCAAGATTCTTGTATTGGTAGGAATACCTACTCCTATACCTCCCCACAATGGTCATACAAAGTGTAATTACTGCCCCCATGGTGTGGGGAACCAAACTTGAGTAGCCCAAGAGCCTGAGTGAAGTGTCCAAGTTCACACAGCTGATGGGAATGGAGTCTACATAGAAATCCAGGCTGCGAGACTCCCAGCGCTCTTGATTGCTCCCTTGGCTAAGTTCAACCTCATCACACCATGTAGCTTTTGAAGGTTTAAAGTTATGTGGGCGAAGAGACACAGAAGAGGACCAATTAAAGGTTTTAAAGAAAAAAGCTGTCCTGGCCCCAAAAAGGCTACTTCCAGACTCGATACTAGATGCCACTGCTTTCAAGCTTTTAGTCTATAATCAAGCCATATTGAAACCAGATTTACAGGCTCTTCAGAAGAGACCTTTGTGAGTTTCTAAAACAGACATGTTTGGTATTTTAGGAGGGAGGTCAAACCCCCTATGGTGCAGTGTTTTTAATAAAATCAGTTCAGCAGAAATTAGAGACACACCAGTCAGTTTCTAGGAAGCCTTGGAGCCATTCAAAATAAGGGATGGGGCCGGGTTTCGGGGGAGGGAATAACATAAAAGATATAACCACGGACAGAGCAGTTTTTTCAAAAGGGGCAGAATGTTTAAGGGGTGCAGATAGAGAAACATCATGGCAACCATTTGTCTCTGGTTTGGGCAAATTTCCGCTTAAAAAGGGAAAATCACTTTTGGGGGGAGTTCTATGTCCACATTAAACAAGGACTGTTCCTGATCAGCCCAGCCGTGCAGTGACACCTCAAAGGAACGGCAAACATCTCTACGAGGGAAAAACAAATAAACCCGTCATCATCCTTACATCACTGAATCAGGTAGGTCGCTATTTCATGAAGGGTCCTTTATCTCCACTCTTGGCAACCTCTACACTCTCATAGGGAACCAAAAGTAGACTCTATATTTAGTTCTTAGAAAAATCAAAGTGGAGAAACCTACAATATTTTTGCTGAAAGGCCAAGTTATGTGCAGATCTGACTTAAAAACTGGTGGCAGGAATACACAAATATTAAAGAAGGAGACAGCAAAGGAAGACAATTTGTTAGGAAAAGAGACAGGGTTCACCTATTACATGGCTACAACTGGAGTCCCACTCTGGGCACAAAGCCAGCATCCTACCCAACAGGGAAGTGTGAACAGCCTTGCAGATTTAAGCTCAGCCCAAAAGAATCAGGTGGAGGCTTTTCTATTCATCTATTAAAGGTCTGTGATCTTAGCACCCACACACACCCAGGCCTTCCCTGGGTCTTCTCTGGAGGAAGTTCCTGGAATTTCCCTGGAGTTCACTGCTGTCAAATTGTCTCAAAGAGAATGAATTTCTATCCTTCATGGTTTCATTTCCTAATGAACTCCTGAGCTCCTAGTTAACTGGTATTGGGAAGAAATGTGATGAATAAGAAACAGCAGGGTGAGCAAGGAGAGACCACTTCAGAATCCATGGTACTTGCACAATGCACTCATGTCATGAGAACACAAGAGACAAGAAGCCTTTTAATCTTCCGTGTACCCCAATGTTCATCGCAGCACTGTTTATAATAGCCAGGACATGGAAGCAACCTAGATGCCCATCAGCAGACGAATGGATGAGGAAGCTGTGGTACATATACACCATGGAATATTACTCAGCCATTAAAAAGAATTCATTTGAATCAGTTCTAATGAGATGGATGAAACTGGAGCCCATTATACAGAGCGAAGTAAGCCAGAAAGATAAAGACCATTACAGTATACTAACACATATATATGGAATTTAGAAAGATGGTAACGATAACCCTATGTGCAAAACAGAAAAAGAGACTCCTATGTATAGAACAGACTTGTGGACTCTGGGAGAAGGCGAGGGTGGGATGTTTCAAGAGAACAGCATCGAAAAACGTATATTATCTAGGGTGAAACAGATCACCAGCCCAGGTTGGATGCATGAGACAAGTGCTCGGGCCTGGTGCACTGGGAAGACCCAGAGGGATTGGATGGAGAGGGAGGTGGGAGGGGGGACCGGGATGGGGACTACATGTAAATGCATGGCTAATTCATTTCAATGTATGACAAAAACCACTACCATGATGTAAAAAAAAAAAAAAAAAAAGCCTTTTAATCTTCAAGCCCCAAAACTACTGTAATTTGATCTAAAGCTTGAAAGAGGTGGTGAAGGCAAAAATTTCACCAACTGGCCATTTTGATTCCTTCTCTTCTCTTAGGTTTGGAGAGTTAGGCCCCAAAATTCTTTAACTCTCTCAAAAATGGATGCACATAAAATGTAACACTTTACGAACTATAAGTCACACATGCAAGAATTCTCAGTCTCAAAAAGCACAATATGAATGCCGTCATTTATTAAAATGCATATTTATTCCATAGCCTAATTTATTTGGGGCTGTGGCTTATTAGTTATTAAATAACCTAGGTATTCATTTTTAGACTACTCATTTCAACTCAGATTCTTCCATCAACTGGGTGATGGTACCTGTCTTAAGGGACCCAAATTATGCTGGTCATAAAATATCCCCGAATATATGCAAAAAATCCCTTTTAACATTCATAAAAGGAAGCCCCACAGGTACTCAAATATGCAGGCTATAGGTTAATTTTTAAGCAAAAGTTTCAAATATACAAAAGAATCAAGAAAAGAACCTACAAATTATTCTCATATTTAAGATAATAAAGACCCATTTTAGAGGAAAAGTACACATGTGGCATAGCTTTGAATTCAGGCTGGGCTTTATTGCCAAAGTCCTCCAGGAGTGGAAACACTATTATTTAGTGTGTTAGTGGCTAAAATCAACAGTCTATTTGATTATATTAATAAAAGAATCATTTGGGGAAGAAATTATTATTTAAATCTTAATTGACATACAATGTTCACTATTGAAAATCTAAGATTGAGAAGTAAAAAAAATTATCTTTATAACACTGTGTTGAAGGAAGGTTTAAAAACTACGAGCATAAGACGATGCTTGGCTAATTTGGGGTCCAAAATATTTAATTAAGCCCAGAATAAACTGATGAATTAATTAACAGTAAAAGTAGACAGTGATTAACTTTGAAAAAAAGATTCATTTAGTAGGGTTTTTTTCCTTTTCTGATTGGAGGTAGAGACACATTTAAAAACATATTCCAGAGCACCTGGACCAAGCTGATAAGTATCACCTTTTGCTAAGGCAACTTCGGAAACTGATCAATGACATCTGACTCCGGTATAAATAAGTTTCCAATTTCTCTTAGATGAAAGCTAAAACCAGCATTATTGTAACAAAAAACTGTGGGTAAGACACTGAATGATAGGCAGTACACATTTAGAAATTCTCTACGCTGTTAGAAAACGACACATGGGCCATGGAAGAACAAACAAGATCTTGGTCTTGTTAAAAAAAAAGTCAAGACAAAATCTATAGTTGAGATCCGACACTGAGCAATCATAGGTCTTCACTTGTATAATTAACATGTAGTTCCTTGCCCTTCCAGCTTAGTTTTTAATTTATGACAAGACACCACTAAATTTCAGACAAAATATATATATATATATATTTTAAATCTTTACAATAAATCAAGATGTAGGAGCTTACAGAGAACACATTTGTTTATTTAGGTACTCAATTCCAGCTCCCTCTGAATGCAAATAACCCTGGTAACAGTGTACAGAGTCCTCTCTTTGCTTTTCAATAATTTTAAAGGAAATAATACATTTTGACTGTATTTAAGTCTGTGCAAATAATCCTTCAGAAGAAATAGCCAAGATTCCGTTTGCAGAGGTCATTCCGTCTCTCGCAGATGATGACGCGAGTTAGTTTTTTCTTCAGATAAAGTGCTCCCACCCAGCAGAACTCAAGAGGGTCCCAGACATCCAGTTCCACGAGGCCCCGTCATACGAACTCCAGCTTCCCGTGACCGCTGTACATGCCCCAGTGCACGAGCGACAGGATGCGGTCGTGGCTGAGGTCGGCCTGTCTCATCTTGTCGCAGGTCAGACAGCAGTTCTCGTGGCCGCTCACGGGCACCATGCATTCCAAGTCCAGCTTCGCCACCTGCCCCTTCTTGGAGTGCTGCCCATGGAAGCTGTAGTGCAAACGCGAGAGCATTTGCTGCCGCTGCTCCTGCAGCCTCCTGTTCTCGCTCCGCAGCATCCTCAGGGCCAGCATAATTAGCAACACCAGGATCAGCCCACCGGCGATGGGAACTGCGATCACCGCCGCCCGGAACCACAGCTCTTTGGAGGACGTCAGCTCCTGCACTTTGGTGATGAGGTTTCTGCTACCATCGTGCTGATGCCTGTTCCCTTGTCCTACAGGGGGCACAAGCAAACCCATCAAACACGGTCACCCCTTCCTGGAGCTATGCGAGCGCATCTCTCCTTTTAAATGTGGCACCCTCCCCCAACCAAAGATCAAACCAGTCAATCTGAAAGGAAATCAACCCTGAATATTCACTGGAAGGACTGATGCTGAAGCTGAAGCTCCAATACTTTGGCCACCTGATGCAAACAGCCGACTCACTGGGAAAGACCCTGATGCTGGGAAGGACTGAGGGCAGGAGAAGAAGGGGATGACAAAGGAGGAGATGGTTGGATGGCATCCCTGACTCAATGGACATGAGTTTGAGCAAACTCCGGGAGATGGTGAAGGACAGGGTAGCCGGGCGTGCTGCAGTCCATGGGGTCGCAAACAGTTGGACACAACTGAGTGACTGAACAACAGCCATCCCCTTAAACAGAGGCTTCCGATTCAATCAACATTTAGAACAGAAATGCTGCCCAACGAGGCAGAGCAGCTTCCAAAAACATTTGTTTATGGACTGTCATTACTGATTAGTAATGGCCTTATAATGACTTCAAAATGTTGGATAAAAACAGGCAAAACCTATTATGTAGACAGATATCTAGGGCTCAGGCAGACATGAAAGTCACTCACTAGAGATGCATCTTTGCACCCAGCCTGGCTTCTCCCTCAGCCGTCTCTAATTACATCAACAGCAAAGTCAATAGCAGACAGACAAAGCCGTGGCCGTCACAAGCCTAGAGGCCAAGCAAGGGTTTGGCCGGGGGGGGGGGGGGGGGGGGAGGGCTGCTCCTACCTGAGGCCTCGCCCTTGGGCGGGGTGAGGACGTCCTGCAGCCCCCTGTAGTTGCACATGTCTTCGTGACAGCACTCCAAGGAGGGCGAGGGGCTGCCGGAGTGGTTGCGAGCCTGTCTGGCTTGGCAGATGTCCGCTGTGCTGGCTAGGGAGTCCAGGCAGCCATGGGTGAGCGGGGAATTAGTGTTCTGAGGATCCAGAAGTCTGGAGAAGCAGGCGCTCAGCTCAGATTTACACATATAACCAGTAGCCACGCAGTGGGCTGCATCACAGTAACATCTGATTTCACCTGAAAATGATGGGCAATTGCATCAAACAGCTTCAGAGACCAGATAAAGCATCAGCTTCAACAACTGTACTATGCTAAGTCGCTCAGTCGTGTCCAACCCTTTGAGTCCCCATGGACTGTAGCGCACCAGGTTCCTCTGTCCATGGGATTCTCCAGGCAAGAATACTGGAGTGGGTTGCCATGCCCTCCCCCAAGGGATCTTCCCGACCCAGGGACTGAACCTGTGTTTCTAAAGTCTCTTGCATTGACAGGTGGGTTCTTTACCGCTAGCACCAAGAGACACCAAATTTCAAAGACATTCACTTTAGGGAAAATTCAGCTGAGGACTTAGAAGGGCTGACCACGTGGATCCCTGGAGCCCCTTGTGCAAGTCAGTGCTCGAATCCCAAGTCAGGTAAATATCATTTTAGAAATGTATTAATCCACATTGCAGAGGATGAAAGTTCAGTGTAGGAAAAGCTAGCAAGTAATTAAAAATAACACTTTTGTCTTTGAAGCAAAATAATCATCACCAGGATTTCTCCTACCGTAAGGAGAGAAATTACAAAAATCACATTATTGACTTGTTTTAATCCTACATGACCATACAACGTAAAATGCTTGGCTTTTTGATTTTGTCAGTATAAATATTTGATCGGAACTGCTGAATTGTTTACTACCTCGAAGGGCTGTGCCAAGGTTTAAGAGCTTTCGCTAACACCTTATAAAGTTATTAACTAGAAACACAACAATCTAGAAATTGCTCCGGTCAGGAGGTTTTAAAACTATGAAACTGGGCAGCTATTTGCAACCTCTCTAGAAAAGGCAAACTTTGCCTATAAAGATCTGTTCATGCAGGGGAGCTTTTAGTCAGATATTGTAAAACAGGAACTAGGCAGTTTACAATTAGTGGTTTGCTTGCCAAAGTCAATTTCTTTCAGCCCAAATGGAAAGTCATAAAACTGGGGGCAGGGAGGAGGGGGTGAAACTGCAAGGCTCCCTCCTCCCCCCACCCCTCAACTCCCCACTTTTATGTGTAATTCAACATGGGATCTAAAACGGGAAACATTGGAACTGAAAATCCTCTGCTGGTTGAATGAAAAATCCTTAAGGAAACCTCAAATTTTTCTACAGGAAGTGATTAAAAGTTTCCTTTATAAAACTTAGTTTGTGAGTTGCAAGCGGGTTAACATTCTGCCACAAGATCTGAGACTTCCATGTCAATTTCTGGTTGAAACAATCTGGGGCTGGGAGTGATCACTCACATGCTACCTGACCCAGTGGATCTCAGCCACTGTCACAGGCCATGGCTGTAGCCTGCTGTGAACTGAACTCAGGTACATGCCTCTCCCCAGCTTCTCCATCTGAAGTGCTGTCTTAGTTACAGAAACCAAAGCTCTGAAATTAAACACCAACACCGGGCACTGCTGCTCTACAAATCTCCCAGCCTCACCTTTCTTCTTTCTCCTCCTCTCGTGAATGCCTGAGTAAGATGTCTCATTTAATTATGTGTCCAAATTCCAGGCCACCGTAAGGCTGCTAGTGCTTCAGTTCTTTAAAAAAAAAAAAAAAAAAACCCCAGCCAACTAAACACAGATCTTTGGCAACCTGAGTTTCACCGTGCAAAGCCAGAGGTCCTCCTCCTGTCCTGGGTCTGGGCCCGGGTCCCTTCCCTTCTCCAGTAAATAAGACCTTCCAGTTAGAATCCTGCTTTGCACAAGTTCTCTACTCCTCTCTCCAAGCTTACTTGCTTTTTCACAGAAAGCTCACTGATCTTAAGTGGGTGATGACTGAATATCCCTAAGTCTGACAAATTCCACATATAGTCTGAAAGAAGAAATAAAACAGATTAAAAGTCCATGTTGATCCCATGCACTTCAGACCTCATGTAGAAAAAAAGAAAGCTGAATACAAGCAAAATGCTGCTTAAATGTTCATGAGAGCCTATTTTAAAGACTATATTTTCAATGACCTAAAACAGTCTAATAAAAATTTGACAGGTAACTAGGAAAGTTCTAACAACTTTTTTTTTTTAATTGGAGCCACATTGGAGCAAGTTGAATAGACTTTTGTGTTACTGTATTAAAACTATATTTCTGCCGTTTCATAAAGTTTCTTCCTGTGGCATGCGAAAAGGCCAGGAGGGGACTGGTATTTTGAAGCAGGGAACAATGCTCTTCTGTCTGCCCCCCTTTCTGGTTACTGTACGTGGTGATTAAACAAAAATGTCTGCTTCAGTCAGGACGGCTACAGGAGAGGCTGCTGGCTTCTTTTAAAGCTTTTGAAGTCCGCAGCAGTCAGAAACCTCTGATCCCCTAATTATATCATTATCAGGCGCATAGTTTCGGTATCTGTGACTTATGTCAGCCGCGGTCCGGCCCCGTTCGGCCGGTCTTTTGATAGACCGGGAGGCTTCCCTCTGCAGGCTGCTACGAGGGCTGTTATTTAGGGTTAATTACAGCCTTTCTTCCAAAATAAATAAATACTGTAGCACTTCATCTCTGCTGGCCCGGCTGATCCTTCAACCTCATGCCTGCTACATGGCAATTAGAGAAAAGGGGGAGGGGGAGTGGTGCAAAAGCTAAAAATGCCTCCTATTTTTAAGAAAAATTATCTGTTCACAGTAGTCAGAGTTCGTGGCAGGGGAGGTGGAGGGCCCTTGAAACTCAAGAAAGAGTTGTCTGGGTTATTTCCACCTAAAAGGTGAAAGCCTGCAGCGGGAGGGAAAAAAGAAACTGACCGCTACTTTTTTTTTTTTTTTTTTGAGTAGTGTTTATAAAATATGAGGTGAGTGGGAAAAGGGACCGCTGACGGAGTCCACATCTCCCAGCCCCCAAGCAGTAGCGCTCCCCACACCGCTGCACGCGGACACACACCTGGGACACCTACACGCGGGGAGGTACCACTCACGGGCTCACAAAGACACTCAGACACACACACACGGACACTCACGGACAGAGACATTTAAACACGGCGACACTCAACAAGGGAAGATGCTCCAATACAGAGAGACACACGACAGACACACAAGTGCACTCACGGACAAAAACACTCAAATACAGACACACGTTCACAGCAGAGACACATTCAAATACAGAGTCGCGCACACAAACCGAGACACTCGGACTCAAGCTGGGACACACACACGAAACACGCGGGCACGGTCCAAGGCTGGGAGGGAGACTGCGGTCCCTCCCGGCCGCTCCCGCCCCACGCCGCGGCTGCAGACGCTCAGAAGTTCACGACCGACAGACTCGCACAAACATTCTGACAACCACTCGTCCCGAGGTCTCACTCCACCTCCACGCGCCCGGCTCCGGGACACCGGGGTGGGCGGGTGGCCCCGAAGCCACCGCCGCGACTTCTAAGAACAGATAACTTGTCGCGACCTGCTGGCTCCGCGCGGGAGGCCGCCTCTCCCGCCGATAACAAAGCCCCGGGACCCCGCGGCCCTCCCCGGGGAACGCGCGCCCCGCCAGCCGGCGGGCACCCACCTTTGGTGAGCAGTACCGCCATGGCGCAGAGTTCAAGCTGCAGCCAGATGAAGATGTAGCTGGAGTGGCGATCCATGGACGCCCCCCTCCACGGCCCCGGCGCCCCCGCCGGCTCCCGGAGCCGCGGCGCAGCTGCAGCCTACGGCTCCCGGCGCGCGTAGTGCATGGGTAATGCCCGGGGCGCGGGGCCGGGCCGCGGCCGGAGCATGGAGAGTAGCTGGAGTGGCGCGAGGGGCACGGTCCAGTTCCGCAGTCCCGGCTCTCTCCGCTCGGCCCGGCAGCTGGGTGGGCTTCAGGCTCTGCTTTCTTCGGTCGGCCACTCGGCAAAAAGAACCAGCAACCCGCGCGCAGACACTGGCCGCCGCAAGCTCCCGCCTGCGCCCGCCTGGGTCCCACCGGCTCGGCGCTGTAAATAGCGCCCCGCGCTGGGAGCCGGCAGGCCCCGCCCCGCTCCGGCCCCGCCCGGGCCCCGCCCCCGGCGCCGTGCGATTGGCCGCGGGGCTCCAGCCGCTCCGCCGGGGGGCGGGCCGGGCGCGGGCGGAGAGCTCTGCCCCGCGGCTCAGAGCGGCGCCGGCGTCTGGGCTGCGGGCGGCGCCGGCCGTCTCCCGCGCTCCCCCTCGCGGAGGACGGGCGTCCGTGACCTTAGGGGAGTTGCGGGTCGAGCTCGGCCTGGGGCCCTGCCTCTGGCCCCCGCCTCTGCGATCCTCCCCACCCGGCCTCGGGCCGGCGCGCCCCAGCATGTGGCTTCCTCTTCGTTTTCCCGAAACTCGCGAGGGACCCGCGTGGCCGCCTTCGGACCCGTCCCGCCGCGCGGCTGCCTCGGGAGCCGGAGGAAAGACGACCCTAGAGTGAGCCCTGCCGGCCCGCGTGCGCCCGGGGAGGGAGGCCGGGCGCGGGACGCTTTCCGCCTTTCTCCCCCTCCCCTCTGCGCATCCGCCTCGCTCGCCCGCCCGGTGATCAATAAAGCCCAGACAGACAGACTGTTGATCAGCAGGAGCCGCCGAGTTCTCCGGGGTAGACGGGACGAGTAGCTGGCTACAGACACTTAACGAAAATTAGCAAATCCAAAAGCACCCGGCGCCAGCGAGACGACACAGGCCGAGACTGACACTCAATTAACCACCCCCCAAACAGTCGCCGGCAAACACAGCGGCTGACCCTGATCAATATCAGCCCGGCGGTGATCTCCTTTCTGAAACGCTAATTCATTTATTAGAACTTGTGGGGCTGCCCGCCCCAACGTACCCAAGGGCGGTTGGGGGAGTGGCGGGATGCTGTTTTTTATTTTTGTGGAAGTGAAATTCAGTTTAAAACTAGTATCTGAGGGAAGCTCTTTTCTCCTCTCTCCCCAAAACCTGGGATTAACAAAAGTCAACCATTTGCAAAATTTCCTTTTAGGATCAGCAGCATTTTGCGACCTGATAACAATGTCACGGAGTGGGGCAGGGAAGAAAGGCGCATTTAAAGTTAAGGCAGGAGGAGCAGTCAAACCTTGAGGACTAGAGTGCAGAAATGAGCTTTAAGACTAAGAAGAAAAGCTATGTATATTTATGTAGATATGTCTTTAGGACTGAAAATCCAAGCGAACCTTGAAAAGTTGCTGGAAGTCCACAGAGCTTCAGGATGTAGTTAATGAAATTGCCTTTGAAAAATAATGTCTATATGTAGAAAAATAAAATAATTTCATAAACTGATGTTCTGCCCATTACTTCACTAGATCAAAATTGCATCTAAAAGAAGGGAGGGCTGGCCCAGCGGAAGGTCAAAGAGGAAATTAAACCGGTTAGGGCACCAGGTAAAGAGCAGGCGTTTCTTTAGTTGGGGGGATGGTTGAAGGGGGGAGCTGCCCAGCAGTCCTGAGGAGGGGTTTGATTAGCACTTCCTGACATCTAATTCCTTGACAAGTTAACAGTTCTAAGGGGTTTATGCAGACAATACTGTTCTTGTAATGACACACTCCCTTTTAACTCTAGAGTCAATTATTAGCTAACAGGAAACTTAAGAGTATATTCATTTCAACTTTTGGACCACCCATTGTAGCTCAAGCTCACAGTTTGTGCAGTTAAAAGTCAGAAACTAAAAAGTAAATCACAAACAGTGGAGCTGGCAGATAATAGAGATTAGGAGCACAGTGGTGATGCATAAAGAAAGCTGAGGGAACCAGCCCAGGAAGAGAAACAAGTCCAGGTCTCCTGGAAGCAGTGACACGCACCATGACTCCTAACGACTGAAAGAATTGGGAGGGGACCGTTACCAGCACAGGGGACTCCAGGAACTTGGGCATGATATTCATTGATCGCACTGGAGCTTGTGGGTGGTAAGGAGGGGGTGGGTGGATAGGAGGACAAGCAATTCTTTATTGCTGGAGCATGACACGTGGAGCAAGGAGTGGACAGAGATGCACCAGGAAATAACCATATTTACCTGTGACACAGATAAAAATAACTTTAATGGAAGAGAGTGTAGGGGGATGTGTTGATGAAAGTCATATTGTAGTAAACACTTTCTGAGTGCCTTCCCAGCCCTGTTCAGAGACTGTCCATTTTCTTTGGAGTGGGCATTGGCCGCCAGCCTAGGGCCATCTGGCCGTCTGCCCCCTTGATGATAGCTTGTCACATGACCCCAGTTGGACAAATTAGTTTCCCTCTTCTGGGTCTTTAGACTGAGATGCTAGTCAATCTCTAGAGGTCACTTCATGGAAGACAAATTCAGAGTCCATCTGTGTGCAAAGCAAGAGAAAAAAAAAATGACAGAGCTATGTAAGGTGGCACAGATGTTAACTCCAAATGGATTCCCAGTCCTTGGCTTAACTTCCAGTCCTTAAGTTTCATCTCAGGGTTAACTCAGGCTCTTAGATAAGGTCCTCGTGTTACTTAAGCTCCTTTACTTTCAACCCAAAGGGTTCAAACACTGATGTTTATATTTTGCTGAATTTATATCAATTATTGTTATTCCAGGATGTATACTTTTTTGGTTCCAAGTACAATTCAGAATGAGTACGTCATGATCAGGCAATGATTCTACTTCTTTTGCTTTCATTATTAGCTTAATGGGCAAGATTTTTAAATGGCTAAAAATTAGTTTTAAGAGAAACAAGTCTGCTCTTTAATGGTTTTGGAGCAGACATGGACTTTTCAACTAAACGAACTAGTGTTTCAATCAATATGGAAAATCAAAATCATAATATGTCAATTACGAGGCCATATCAATAGTTGAGAGGATAAACAAAAATTTTAATTCAATTTAAGGCTCAAGAAAAATTGCTTCTCTACAGAATTTTACTTGTTTTGTATATAATTTGGTTATTACTTTCCCACATGTAGGTTGATAAGGAGAAAATAGTCAACTCTAATGGACTTTTTCTTTTATTTAAATCAACAAATGAAATCAGTGACCAAAATTCTTTTTACCCTTATGAAGAGAATTCTGAAAATATTAGCTGGGAACCAGCTATCTATACCCAAGAACAGAAAGCTGATTTGAGATGTAAAACTTGCACTAATTAAACATTATAATAGTTTTGCACTTTCTAACAGTGTTCTACATGTGATATATATGAACCATATACTATATAATCACAATATGCCACTATGATACACTTCCATGGTTGTCCTACACCACAGAAAAACACTAAAATTTTTTTCCTTATATTAAATAGGAAAAAAAAAACCCTCAAGGGTTTTTATGTCTGAACTCATTTTAACAAAGATGTAAATACCCTTGCAATCTCTGCTTACACAAACAATGCCATTGTTTCCCAAAATTATACGAGATCCCCCATTTCAGCAATGCCTCTCTGCAAGATACAGATGAAAAATAACTTGGTACATTTTGTTCAGAAGCAGTTGTGTTTAAGTTCCTGGATAGCACACAAACTATTGCAGTCTAGAGATAGAATCTAACATTTCTGCTTGTTATACAAATCTCCTACCAACCAACAATCCACAGAGGTTAGATAACACTTTGAATTCCCAGTAGCAGGGTTTTTTGAAGTCATTTGTTCTCAGAAGTTAGGAGGGCAAAGCTAAAATTTACTTTCTTTGGAATATGGTCAAAGGTGAGAGATTAGCCCAGCTCAAAGTAATGACTGTCTAGTGTAAAGTTTTCCTTTTCTTTTTTCTTTCAAAATGGAAAAGGAGATAAAGAGCAGAGTGCAGAGTCCAGAGGGTAGGGTGATAGGGCCTAGACAAAAAGGAGAAGACTCCCAAATGTCCATTCTCCCACAGACAAGCAAAAATGCTATGGAGTCTTACAAACACCGTAGATCTTACAGATACTGTAGAACAGTATTCCCCAGCCTTTTTGGCACCAGAGACTGGTTTCGTGGAAGACAGCTTTTCCACAGGCCAGGGCAGGGATGGTTTCAGGAAGATTCAAGTGCATTCCATTTACTGTGTATTTTATTTCTACAAAGTATCCATGGAGTATCTGTTGAGTTGAGGTTTTCTTTAAAAAAAATTTAAGGCAACTAAGTTTAGAATACAGTAAGTAACAGGGACTTCCTTGGTCGTACAGTGGTTGAGACTTCTTCCAGTGCAGAGGGAGAGGGTTCGATGCCTGGTTGGGGAGCTAAGATCCCACATGCCTCAAGACCAAACAATCAAAACATAAAACAGAAGCAGTATTGTAACAAATTCAATAAAGACTTATAAGAAAGAATACAGTGAGAAACAGATTAAAAGAACATTATGAATTTAACAGTGGACATCATTTATAATCAAATAGTATCAAATATACTCTGTGTGATCCCTGATACAGTCTTTGTTCTATTGACTTATATTAATATAGTCTCCAATTCAGCCAGTAGAACTTCTGGACATTATTCAATAATTTCTACTAGTTTTGCCTACCTGATGCCAAATAACCAGATTGATTCCTTTTGTTCTTTTAACTAAAATGGTAAATTAATCTTTTAAAGCAGAGAAATTACCTTAAATTCCTGCTTAAAGGAACATCCTTGACCCAGAACACTGTTGAAATTCATTCAGTGAATAGTATTTGGGGTTCTATGTTCTCAACTGGCAATACTTCATTTGCCTTTTTTGGTGGTTTTTTTTTTTGCTGTTTTTTTTCTTTTTACTGTTCATGTACAAAACATTGAGGGCTTACCTGTTGGCTCAGTCAGTAAGGAATCCTCCTGCAATGTAGGAGACTCAGGTTCAGTCCCTGAGTTGAGAAGATTCCCTGGAGAAGGAAATGGCAACCCACTCCAGTATTCTCACCTGGGAAATCCTATGGACAGAAGAGCCTGGTGCGCTACAGTCCATGGGGTCACAAAAGAGTCAGACATGACTGAGCAACTAAACAACAGCAAAACACTGAAATTCAAAGCTTTGATATTTTCATTAGAAAACCCAACGTTTAGACTCTTTCTTGACATTTGGCATCCTTGCCTACTCTCCAAAACATGCCTGTATTTCCACAGTTCTACATTTATTCAAGCTTATACATGGGGTATAGCTTCCAAGACTTTCAGTGAATGCCTGAAACCTTAGATAGTACCAAACTCAATATAGACTATGGGATTTTTTTCCTCTTCATACATACCTAGAAAAGAGTTTAATGTATAATTTAGGCACAGTAAGAGAATATCTGAATTGCCAGCAACACTCTCGTTGCACTTTGGGGACATTTTTAAGAGTAAGCATCACTTGAACACAAGTGCTGGGACCATGACAGTCCATTTGATAATTGAGAGGGCTGTGTGTATGTGTGTGTGCTCAGTCACTGAACAGTGTACAACTTTTTGCAACCCCATGGACTGCAGACTGCCAGGCTCTTCTGTTCATGGAATTTTCCAGGCAAGAATACTGGAATGGGTTGCCATTTTCTACTCCAAGGGATCTTCCTGACCCAGGAATTGAACCCACGTCTCCAGCATTGGCAGGCAGATTCTTCACCACTGTGCCACTTGGGAAGCCCTGAGAGAGCTACTAAGTAACTAACAGACAGGACACCCTGAACTAGAGGATAGTTCACAGGAATGATCCCAGGGTGAGACGGACAGCAGGAGATTTCATCACACTGCTCA